TTATTTTATAATTTTGATGGAACATATAATTATATATATATTATATTATATTATATTATATTATAATTATATATATATATATATATATATTACATGTATATATATATGCATATTTTTTTATTTTTTTAATATATCGATTAAATTTTAGAAGATCAATTTTAATTTTAAACATTTAACTTCTCTAATTTGGATAATTTTTGTATTAAATTAATTATAATAATCTATTTTTATTATCTCTTTAATCAATTTATCTTTACAAAAATTCTTTATATATATAGACCCCAAATCTATAGTTAAAATATATTAATATATTTCAATTATAGTTCAATTTTCGCGCGGCTAAAGATAGAACCACTGCAACCAATTAGAAAACCGTTGAAACTTAGGAGCGAGACGAATCAGTGTACATTATAATGCGCATGGCATCAATCTACAATTGAATCGTGGTAACAGTTGTGTTTCATCTGCAAATATGCATAATAATATAAAATTTTTATTGATAGCATATTTATTAAAATTTGTATAATCAATTGTGCTTGTTTAATCATTATTATATCAGAATTAAATATGATAGATTATCGTTTAATTGGAGCTTTGAAGATGTAATATTTTTTGCACACATGTTTGCACATATGTCAATTAAGAAATAATCCTATAATTTTTATTCAAATGTGGTAAGATTATTTTATTTATTCATTTTAGAAATATAATAATCAATTATAAAATTCTTTTTATCTTTTTGCAGAGATGAAAGTAGCTAGATAATTCACATCGATTAACGTATTATAGATATTTCTCATATATTTTTCTAAATATCATCCATCCATATATTCAACTCATATGTCATTTCTGTATTTATTTTGATTTTACGCTCATGGTCAGCGTTATGTCATATTCGATATATTTCGATTTGTTGAATTATTGAATATTTGTCTCTCCTTAATTTGTAATTCGATGCATCGAAATCTTTATATGAAACTCGTGATGATTAAACATTTTGCTTCAAATATGTGATTATTGTAATATTTATTTTAATTGTTCAATATTTTTAATTTGTATAATTTGTGATAATTATTTTTTTATTTTGTATGCTAGTATTTCATTAATACGCATTTGTTCGATTATTTATATATATAATATAATTTTAATTGATAATTTCTTAAATAATAATTTATTATGTTTTTTGATCGTAAGGAATTATTATGGGCTAAAAAATAAATTTTTAAAATAGAATTTTTATTCCTCAATTTTATATAATAATATTTTATTAGTATTAAATCTAGAATTAGAATTTAAATCTGAATTCTTATGGTGATATTTATAAATATTAATGTTTCATTTTTTTGTTACAGATATTTCTCAATTTCCGTGACTTTCCATGGCCATCTACGACAATATTAATGGCAATGTAGTTTCTTCGCAACTATGGTGAGTCGTATGTATTTTGATTCCTTCCATCATTTAATTATAACGTAAGACGAAAGATTCAAATGTGATTGTATGCGTAGAATTTTGCATGAACATTTGCATTATATAGTTAAATCTATATAGTTAATATCAGTGATACAATTATATATTTTATAAGAAATAATATCAGTTAATTGGTTGCGAGCGTGATTATATTTTTATAAATAATAAATAATAAAAATTTTGTTAAAATAATAATGCAATACTATATAGTATATATAGTATTATATAGTATTATAAAAAAGTAAAAAGGAAAGTAATATAGATATTAATAATATTAATGGATAATCTCCTTTCAATTTCTGAAATTGAATGAAATGTGTGAACACAGATTTTTAGCTTGAATTTTAAGTAATTCAATTTTGTGTACGTAGTTAGATTATACCTTGCTAGATGGCGTCTGATTTTTTTAGAGATTGATCAATTTCAAAACATATGACACAAAATATCTTACATTTATTTTGTTTCTCGTATTTTATTATTATGTAGTCATTAGTAAATATTTATTAATTATGCATTTAGCGAATCATTATATTATAAATGAATGCAATCATCTGTGATATTGAGCGAAAAAATATCATAAAGGATATATCAATGCCATTAGTCGATATAATAGATTCCTTAACAATATTTTCATTAGCACATCTAAATACGTAAATATGAGTATATATAATTGGATATCGTTATTGTTATATATAATAATATATAAGTAGTAATGAAAATAATGATTATACAAATTAAATTATTTTATTATTATTTCTTTTTTTTTTTTTGCTATTCTATTGAATTTTATAAAAATCTATCTATTAGAAAATTTTATAAATGCTTTTCGATAATTATGATAAGAATTTATAATGATTATTCATTCAA